TCAAGGATCTGGAGAAGTTCAGGGGAATTGTTATTTTGTATCATTGTATAAAGTTATTTTGTAATCATTTAAATAAATAAAATATTAGTAGTAACAATAAAAATAAATATACAAACATGCGGTTATTATATATATATATTATATGTTTAATGATAACAATATTTAAATAAAATATTAATTATAAAAATAAAAAGTATTAACAATTAAATATAAATATACAAATGTATTATTCTTTATAATAATAATAATAAATACTGGGTAATAAGGCACAGAGAGTGAGAAGGGGTGTGTCTAAAAATATTAACAATAAAATACTAAAACTATAACTAACTAATAAAAATAAATATATCAACTTCTTCATATTATTATTATATCTGTAATAATATTAATATCGGTAATACTTTATACTATTATTATTAATAACAATAATTAAATAAAATATTAATTATAAACATAAAAAATATGAACAATAAAAATATATACAACCATTATTATTATCTGTTGTAATAATAATTTGTTATTTATATAATATATTATTAATAATAATAATAGTTAAATAAAAATTAATTGTAAAAATTGACTATTAGCATATTAAATCAATATTATTATTAATAGTAATAAAATACACGTTAAATAAATTGTTATTAAAATACATTTTTATTATCATTATTAGTAGTAGTATTAATAGTAATTATTATCGTCATCATCATTAATAATAATAATAATTATTATTATTATAATTTTCTGATTAAAGACCCAAGATGAGATATCTGAGGATTTTTTTACACTGCATAATGCTGTACCTGTAGAGAGGTATACAGGTGTGCTGGCCTCACTTTGGCAGTGGCCTCTGTGGGCGGTGACGGTGAATGTGAAGGTCTCTCCACAGCCCAGAGTAGGGAAGGAACAAACAGAGCTGGTGGAGTTACAGAGCTGATATTCTCCTGCTGCACTGACGGCTCGGGCGACGTAGTAATCAACTTCTTCTCTCACATCCCAAGACATCACAGACATTTTGTTACCGCACAGTTTATCGACGACTGGCTGCAGTGGTACGCAGGGTCCTGCAGGGTGGTCACAGAAAAGTTGGACCCTAATTAGTGTACTTCATCTTTTAACACTTTCTACACATTATGCTTTGCAAACTCACTGGACAGGAATGTGACATTGGTGGTGGAGGTCGTTTGGCACTGCTGGTTCATAGAGCTGAAGGTGAGGTTAAATTGCTGTCCACACTGCAGGGAGGAGATGTTACAGTGGTTCTGACTGGTTGAGCAGGAGACTGTTTGACCTTCTGACCCCAAAGCGGTCACGGAGTAATTCTCCGCCCCAGCAATGGCACTCCAAGACACTAGAACTGAATCTGTGGGGCAGTCCACCATGGCAGACACACTGGTGGACAGACATGGTGCTGAAAAATACAGAAGTGTATTTAATAACTTATATTTTAAAGTATATTATAATAGTAATAGTATATTTTAAAAACATAATACCAGTCAAAAGTTTGGAATATTTTATATATATATATATATATATATACATACATACACACACACATAGTTTTTTATTCTGGTAATGGCAAAGCAGAATTCTCAGCTTCGGAATTCTTCAGAAATCCCTTCAATATGCTGATTTGGTGATCAGTTATTAATAATGGTTCTTATTAACCATACATACACTACCATTAAAAACTTTGGAGTAAGTAAGATTTTTTTTTTTAATTTATACATTTAAGCAAGGATGCATTAAATTGATCAAAAGTGACAGGAAAGACATGTATAATATTAAAAGATTTCTATTTCAAATAAATTATGTTCATCTAACTTTTTCTTCATCAAAGTGCATCATGGTTTTCACAAAAATATTAAGCAGCAAAAAAAATTTTCAACATTGATAATAAGAAGAAATGTTTTTGAGCACCAAATCAACATATTAGAATGATTTATGATTTCTGAAAAATCATGCGACACTAAAGACTGGAGTAATGATGTTGGTTGAAAATTCAGCTTTGCCATCACAGGAATAACATTTTAAAATATATTCCAATAGAAAACTGTTATTTTTAAATTTTTGTGCTTTGATTAAATTATTCTTCTTTCAAAAAATAATATTCCAAACTGTAGTCTAGTAGTGTCTTTAGTCTTTTAACACAGTTATATATGATATCTTAACATTAAAGTGAATTTTTTATGAAATATGTGGTTCTAAATAAAACATATTTAAACAATGTACACATGCAATAAATCATGCAAAATAAGACCAGAAACATGGTCAGTTCTGGTATAATTTAGACTTCCGCCTTTGGTACTAGAGAAATCTGCTGTGACAGGAAAGAATATTTTTGTTTCATCACAATATTGTTTGTTTTTAATTGTTTTTTACAGACCTGATGTCATGTTGACCCCTGTGCTGTCAGAGCTGTTGAACACCTCACCGATGGCACGGACTCTGACATAGTACACTGTTCCACAGGTGAGATCAGGTACACTGCAGTATGTATGATTTGTCCGACAGGAAGTGGAATGACCATTTCCGCCTTCCAGGAATGCAACATATCCCACTGCCAAATGACTAGGCTCCCAGGAGACAGCAGCACTAAGGGTGGCGCAGTTTAGGCTAGCTTTGACATTCTGAGGAGGACAGGGTTCTGGAATGACATGAAGTAAATGACACTGATTCAAGATGCACATCATGCAGGTTGAGTGAATAATGACACATTTTTATTTTGGGTGAACATTCCTTTAAAATCAGTGGTCACATGACTGACCTGTCTTGATAGGATCAGAAGTCACAGTGTCACTGCAGACACTGTTGTGAGCCGTCGCGCTGACATTGTAGATCTGGCCACAATCCAGGTGTGGGAAGGTGCAGCTCGTGTTAGAGGTCTCACAGGTCACTGTCAGGCCCTCGTGGGTCACAGCCTCTGCTGAGAAGTTGGCGCCACCTTTAGTGACATCCCAGGACAGCAGAGCGGTGGAAGGACTGTACTGCACTGTCAGATGCTGAGGAACACACGGACCTGTAATGGTATGATAACGGTTTAGTTTTATACATTTATGTATAAAGATACATATTTTATCTAAAACAGTATAATGCATAATGTGTCACATTTCTAGATAATCTCAATATCCTGTTATAAATTGTAATTTAAATTGTTTTCAATTTAAATTTATTTACAGGTAAGTCAAATTAATACAAAAAATATGATGGGAGATTACCATGTTTATTCAAAAAGTTAAACTATAGCCTTATGTGCAAATTTTGTAGTACAATTATGTGACTTTAATGTTTTAAATTATTTCAATGATATATAAATATATATATTATATTGAGTAAAATTATTTAAAAAATATGTTCAGCTATGAATGATATATACACTACCAGTCAAAAGTTTTTGAACAGTAAGATTCTTAATGTTTTTTAAAGAATTCTCTTCTGCTCACCTGCATTTATTTCATCCAAAATACAGCAAAAGGAGTAATATTGTGAAATATGTTTACCATTTAAAATAACTGCTTTCTATTTGAATATATTTAACATATAATTGATTGCTGTGATCAAAGCTGAATTTTCAGCATCATTACTCCAGTCTTCAGTGTCACATGATCCTTCAGAAATCATTCTAATATGCTGATTTGCTGTTGAAGAAACATTTTTTATTATTATTAATTTTTTTTCAGGATTCTTTGATGAATAGAAAGATCAGCATTTATCTGAAATAATAAGCTTTTGTAACATTTTACACTATACAATTCAAAAGCTTGGTGTCAGTAAAAATTTTTGTAGGGGGGTAATTATAGAAATTAATACTTCTATTCAGCATGGATGCTTTAAATTGATCAAAAATGATGATGAAGACATTTACAATGTTACAAAAGATTTCTATTTCAGATAAATGCTGTTCTTCTGAACTTTCTGTTCATCAAAAAATCCTGAAAAAAAATTCTACTCCGCTGTTTTCAACATAATAATAATTAATGTTTTTTTGAGCAGCAAATCAGAATATTTGAATGATTTCTGAAGGATCATGGTACTGGAGTAATGGAGCTAAAAATTCAGCTTTGAAATCACAGGAATAAATTACATGTTTAATATATATTCAAAAAGAAAACACGTTATTTTAAATAGTAAAACTATTTCACAATATTAATGTTTTTGCTGTACTTCAGATCAATTAAATGCAGGCATGGTGAGCAGAAGAGAATTCTTTAAAAGTCTTACTGTTCAAAAACTTTTGACTGGTAGTGTACATAAAATGGTTGAAGGAAGCAGTCTATTTCAGTCAAGCAGAAGTATGTTGGCAGAACCAAATCGTTTACAAAACCGATTTAACAGTCTCAGCTGAAAACTTAAATCGCAAGCAAATCAGATTCACTAAACCTCACCTGTGATCAGGGAGCCAGTCATCTGAGCACTGGCATTGCACGTGTATCCCAAACTCTGTACGTTCACCGTATACTCATTGCCACACTGCAGCTCGCTCAGCTCACAGTGCGTGATGGAGCTGTTGGATGTGCAGCTAGCCCTGTTGTCCACCGGTGCCAAGGCAGAGACAGCGTATCCCTGAGCACCTGCACTGTACTGCCATGACACAGTGGCTGTACCCAGCTGACAATCCAACACTGCCTTGATGGAGCTGGCTGCGCAGGGAACTATGGGTAAAAGCAGGAGAGACTCTGATATATTTTTAATAGAAAGCAGTATACAGTGTATATATGTGCAGTAAGCAGTTCCAAACATAGCAATTAATTTAGGAGCGAGTGTCTATGGGAGCAATGCCTACGGAGTGAAAATATAGAGTATATAGACAAGTATATGCTTGTACGTGTTTCTATGTACCTGAGTTAGTGTTCACAGTAGCACTGGGAGGGCTGCTGCACAGACTGTCTGATGCCGTCACATTGACGTGGTACAGCTGACCACAGCTGAGACCTGTCACGTTACACTGTGAGCCTGTAGACTGGCAGGTGGTGGACAGTCCATTGCTGTCCTGCAAGGTGGCCGTGTAGTACTGTCCTCCTGCACTAGGTGTCCATGATACAACTAAAGCTTTTGTGACACAATCCACGGTGGGCAGGACATTACTTGGGTTGCAGGGCACTAGAACACAAGAAGCAAGGTAAAACTTAAGTGTTAATGAATTCAGTGCCTTTCTTTTGCAGTTTATGGTTTTTTATTAGACTTTATTGAATTTGATAAACTAAACTTTTTAACTAAAAAGAATATAGACATGCAAATACATTTTCAAAATATATACTGTATGTGTGTGTAGTTATATATACATAATAAATACACACAACACACACATATATTACGCTAACAAAAACTTTTATGTTGGATGCGATTAATCGCGATTAATCGTTTGACAGCACTATAGATAAGTTCTGATGTGAGTAATGTGGTAATGGAGCTTAAGTTGTATTTCACTTGCAATATTGTTTTTTTAAGCAACATTTCACATTTCAAATGCTGCATATTTTAATATATTATAAAATTATATAAGTATAAAATGTAACTTATTCTTGTGATGAAAAGCTGAATTTTCAGCATTTTTACTCCTGTCACGTGATCCTTCAGAAATCATTCTAATATGCTGTTTTGGTGCTCAATAGTCATCATTTCTTCTTATTATTATTAATGTTGTAAATGGTTGTTCTGCTTAATAATTTACGTTTAAAGTAGCATTTATTTAAAATTAAAAAAATGTTGGTAACATTATAAATGTCTTTACTGTCACTTCAATGTCTGTCAATTTAATGCATCCTTGCTTGATAAAAGTATAAAATTTTCTGACCCCAGATTTTTGAATGATTGTTCAAAATGACAGGAATTAATTTCTCTTACCTGTTATGACAGGTGATCCAGTGCCTGCAGAGCTGTTGCAGGAACGTCCCTCTGCCACTACCTTAACTGTGCATGTTTGTCCACATGCCATGTTAGTGATGTCACATCCTGTTTCATTGGTACTGCAGATGTACGTCTGTCCATTAGAGCACTGCATTGTCATCGTAAAGGACAGAGCTCCATTGCCGCCGGACCAAGACACACTCGCTGTGTTGCTGCCACAGTTCATTATGGACTGGATATTCAGTGGAGGGCATGGGGCTGAAGAGAAGAGAAAATAATGCCATTTAAAGGTGAATGTTAAGTATGTAATTTCCACACCACTAGAGGCACCAAACATATTTTTAAAAGTAATTAAATTTTATTCCGGTTTTTTTTAATTTTTTTTTTATATCTGAGTAGTGCTGTGGTGTTGCTATATGGCTTCTAAGGTGTTTGGAGTTGTTTTAACTAAAAAAATACATTCTTCAGCTTTAAAACGAATCATGATATGAAATATGAAGCCTGAGGCTTATTCGTTTCACTTTTGGTGTGAAAAGGCTTTTATATTTGCCAAAAATAGAACTTTTTTTATTTTAAAAACAAACAAGCAAGCCCTGTGCAGATTTAAAAAGTAACGTAACGCATTACTTTCCATAAAAAGTAACTAAGTAACGTAATTAGTTACTTTTTTATGGAGTAACGCAATATTGTAATGCATTACTTTTAAAAGTAACTTTCCCCAACACTGGTGGTAATGGAGCTTAAGTTGTATTTCACTTGCAATATTGTTTTTAAGCAACATTTTATTTTAATATATTTTAAAATGTAACTTATTCTTGTGATGAAAAGCTGAATTTTCAGCATCTTTACTCCTGTCACGTGATCCTTCAGAAATCATTCTAATATGCTGTTTTGGTGCTCAATAGTCATAATTTCTTATTATTATTATTAATGTTGTAAATGGTTGTTCTGCTTAATAATTTACATTTAAAGTAGCATTTATTTAAAATAAAAAAAAATTTTGGTAACATTATAAATGTCTTTACTGTCACTTCAATGTCTGTCAATTTAATGCATCCTTGCTTGATAAAAGTATAAATTTTTCTGACCCCAGATTTTTGAATGATTGTTCCAAAATGACAGGAATTAATTTCTCTTACCTGTTAAGACAGGTGATCCAGTGCCTGCAGAGCTGTTGCAGGAACGTCCCTCTGCCACTACCTTAACTGTGCATGTTTGTCCACATGCCATGTTAGTGATGTCACATCCTGTTTCATTGGTACTGCAGATGTACGTCTGTCCATTAGAGCACTGCATTGTCATCGTAAAGGACAGAGCTCCATTGCCGCCGGACCAAGACACACTCGCTGTGTTGCTGCCACAGTTCATTATGGACTGGATATTCAGTGGAGGGCATGGGGCTGAAGAGAAGAGAAAATAATGCCATTTAAAGGTGAATGTTAAGTATGTAATTTCCGCACCACTCGAGGCACCAAACACATTTTTAAAAGTAACTAGAATTTATTCCTGATTATTTAAATCTGAGTAGTGCTGTAGTGTTGCTATATGGCTTCTAAGGTGTTTGGAGTTGTTTTCACTGGGCTGCTATGCAGTTGCTAGGGCACCAGTACTGACAATCATTTTCAGCGAGTAACCTGAAGTCATTTCATTTTCAATCAAAGAGTTCAGCTTTATGCAAAGAGCAGCTACGTGATGCAGCGACCTCCAGTAGGAGTGCAGACTGTGTTCTATGCAGGTTTGATGCATGAATGAAACGGTGCCTCCTGTCCAATAACAAAGCCTAAGCTTTCAAATTCTTTAAATTTTTCTCAAGAAATACAAACAATAAATGTCATTTTGACATCATCATGTGGCATGACAGATCGCTTTAGCTGTGTGAAAGCAATCATGTCTTCCTCTTTACCTCTAGTTATAAGCATGAAATAAACAAGAATGATAATCAGAAAGTATGTTGAAAAAATAGTACATATTACTAAAATATACCAGTGTTTCAAACTGCAAAAAATAAAACAGCTTGCAAACATAGCGTAATGTTACCTTGGCAAAGTCATCATTGCTAGTTTGCAAGAAAAAAAACTCTAGAGAGGAGCATTGTGTGAAATATCTGTACTCTATATATTATATATTCATTGTATATTAGTGTTGTCATAATTAACAGATTTATTTAAGACATAAATTATGTCATGAAACAAGCTTTTATGATAGCCATGTTTAAATGTTTATATTTAAACAAGGAATTTGAGTAAACAATGTAATTATATCATTAGAAACTTGCCTTATGTACAATTTAAATGTTTGTGTACAACTCGGATTTTATTTGAGTGTTGATTATTATATCTATAAATAAATAGCAATCCAATTTAATAATTTGTTAAATTTTTGTTGTTCATTTTAACATTTAATATTTTAGTAATGTACCAAGTGAAAGTGTTCCCTGCATAGTTTACAGCTTTATTTGGGAGAAGAAAAATTGCATGTACCTGAAGTATTTCAAATTGAACTGATATCAAAGCAGCATCTGAATTAAATTTAATTGAGAGCTTGTGAATAAGAATCTAATTATGAAATCTGTGTCAATATCCAGCCCTACACTCAAGTAGAAATGTCTGCTAGCAACTAACGGTGATTAAGCTGTGATTTAGTGAAAAGGGCTTGAGTTGAGGCATTTGTTCAAATTATTTCTTTGTTTTACTATAGTATCTGTCTAAAGAATCTGTCTTTTCTTCTTTACAGAGTCTTCCATTGTATGGACAAACTAGGCTTTGTTACCTGTCTCCCTCTGCAGTGTGTTACTAGCAGCACTGGTGCATTGGCCTTGCGTTGCATTCACAATGAACGTGTACGTCTGTCCACACTGCAGTCCATCCACCACACATTCATCATTGTTGAAGACACCACAGCCCAGCTGTTCACCCTGAGTGCTCACTGCACTGACCGAAAATGCACCTAGACTCAACCCTGAACTAGACCACTTCACCACAGCAGACCTTGAGCTACAGTTCAGAGCCACGTCGTTCAGAACTGGCACACATGGAGCTGAAAGTGAGGGTAAAGAAGGGTGAAAGGAAACAGATTATTAAATATGAAAGTGCATTATTAGTATTATTAGAGCAAAAATGGAGTTTAATGACTATCATTTTGGTAATATTATTATTAATACAATTCCTGATTCCTAACCTGTAATTAAGGAGTACTCCGTGCTGGATTTGCTAGTACAGTTGTTTTGGGTAGCAGTGACAGTGACGTTGTATTGGCTGCCACATTGCAGGTGGGCAAGAGTGCAGTTCAAGTTTGTTGTGTTACACTCCACACCACTAGAGGGCCCCAATGGGCCAATGGCGCTTGCTGTGTAATGAACCCCGGAAATGGCCAAGGAGCTCCAGGACACTAAGACTGTGTTAGTAGAGCAGTCCAAAACAGCAGCGACAGAAGTAGGTGGACACGGCGCTAAAGAAGAAACAGAAATACATATGCTGAGACTATTATTCTGCATGTCTCCAGTATTAAGCATTTCACTCTTAAAGGGATAGTTCACTCCAAAATGAAAATTACCCCATGAATTACTCACCCTCAAGCCATCCTAGGTGAATATGACTTTCTTCTTTCAGATGAATTAAAAATAAATAAAAAGAGTTATATTAAAAAATGTCCTGGCTCTTCCAAGCTTTATAATGGCAGTGAATGGGGGGGGGGTAATAAAGGGCTTTTGAAGTGATGCATTTGTGTAAGAAAAATGTCTATATTTAAAACTTAAAGGGGTCATATGATGCTGCTAAAAATAAAATTATTTGGTGACGCCTTCTTTCTTTGTGTGAACATTTGGGCAGCGTTATGCAAATCTTCCCAGATAGTGACGTAGGTATGTGGGGGCGTGTTAGAATGAGCCGTTTTAGGTAGGCGTGGTTGACTCTTAACTTTTATAAAGAATAACTCTTTGGATTTGAGACTTTAGTCTTTGCAACTTTACAGATCTTCTTTATGCACCAAGAGCTTGTAACACTCCAAAGAGAAAGTAAAAATTTAAATCGCATCATATGACCCCTTTAAGCCATAATCTGTAGCTTCCGCTAACTGTCGTACGCGTGTTTACGAGATAGTGGCGTTCCAGCGGATGACATAGGATGAAAGTAGCGTAAGCTCCAGTGGGAAGTGACGAACGCGGAAGCACAGAGGAGAGAGCAAAACAAAACACCAGTCACAAATTAGCAGTACAAAATGAGGATATGTAAATAAAAATGTTGGAGGATTTCGATAAAAGCCAAGAGGAGACTGGTTTTCCTTTGCTGTAAACAAAACTTGGTTCTCGCAAAACTAACATATTCTCACCGGAGCTTACGCTACACCTACATCATCTGCTGGAACGCCACTCTCGTTAATACGCATATGACAGTTAGCGGAAATTAGAGATTAAGGTTTATAAAGTTTTAAATATAGACATGTTTCTTACACAAATGCATCACTTCAAAAGGCCATAAGTTCATAAGTTGTACTTCTCGACCCCCATTCACTGTCATTATAAAGCTTGGAGGAGCCAGGACATTTTTAATATAACTGATTGTATTCATCTGAAAGAAATTCTATATGCCTAGGATGGATTGAGGGTGAGTAAATCATGGGGTAATTTTCATTTTTGGGTGAACTATCCCTTAAAGTCAACATGAAACTGTATTTGCAAACTGTTTCACTTCAGTATTATGACATATCCTTATGTTTAAGAAATGTAGAGTGTGGTTTTTGATATGAGGAACAAAGGCTGGAACCACCATGAATATTGATGGTACAGCATCCCCTACAAAAATTAGATATGGCCAGATTGTATATTTGATGTTCTTGATGCTGCTCTGCTGCACTCCATTATGCACTGTTCTTTTGTCAAATTTTGCTGTTTTAAATAGAAAATATTGTGATTCATGTAAATCGTAATTAAATTTGATGTGACAAGAAAGATTAATGGAGCTGTTTTTGACATATTAGACGTATGATTGAGAGCAATTGTGTGCATATTTATTTAGAATGGAAGCCTTCAGTTTGTTCAAATGGTACTGTACCTGCCGTGACCTGACTGATCGCACTGGTGTTGGAGCTACAGCCGTTGGCCTCTGCAACCACAGTGATATTGTACGTCTGCCCACAGCCGAGTGCAGGGATGATGCAGGACGTGGAGGTGGAGTTACACACCAGGGTCTTGTCAGTAGATTTTGCTTGAGCATAGTAGATCTGCGCCCCTTTACTCGACTGCCAGCTAATTTGAACATCACCTGTTTGACAGTCTAAGAGCTGACTGACCACAGATTGTGGAGCACAGGGTGCTGAGAGACAAAGGAAAACAAAGTATTACTTTAGCATGTTTAAAGGAATATTCCAGGTTAAAAACAAATCTTTCTCGGCAGAATCTTTGGTGTGCAGTCAAATACATTTAAAATGTGAAGTATTGTCGTCAAAGCACTTGAATTATTCAGTAAACGTGTTCTTTTTTTTTTTTAGCAACATTCACATTTCAAGTGCTGTAGAGAATAATATTGTGTACTATAGTTTAAACGTTCTGGATTTATACGCTACAAACTTGCAGTATGCAAAATTCAATTTTAGAGAAAATACTTACCAGTATTGATACGACGCACGTCACTACGTTGCCCAGTGCAGTCCACGCTCATAGCTGTGACTGACACGTTGTACGCCTGACCACACGCCAGGCCGCTGATGTCACAGGAAGTGCTGCTGGAGTTGCAGGTTAGCGTATGTCCATTATCATCTACTGCTGTTACTGTATAGTATGAAACAAGGCCACTAGATGCTGCCCAGGAAACAGATGCAGTGTCCGACCCACAGGATAATGACACATTGACTTGAGTGGGAACACATGGAGCTGGAAAGGAAAAGAGTCATGCACAAAATCAGAAGATTTTAGCGCAATGGATCATTTGATGCCAGAAGAATTGCCAAATTAGAGTTTAATCTAAATGCACTGTGTTGTTATTTTATGTTATACCCATGTCAAGAGTGACCAAGGTTTTAGAAGAGGTTGAACAGGTCTGGCCGTGTCCTGTAACACTGATGTTATAGTGCTGACCACACGGCAGTGAACTGATGCTGCAGGAGGAGCCGTTGGTGAAGCAGTTGTGCTTTTGGGGGTCCTGGAAAGACTGCAGTATTGCATTGAAACTTAGCGAACCATTGCCTGGTGTCCAAGAAATGAGTGCTGAGTTGGTGCTGCAGTCCAGACTGGCTTGAATGCCAGTGTTGGGACATGGTGCTGCAACATGACAAAAATGTTAACACGTCAAACTGCAGTATATGTTTTTACATTTACTGAATGGTGCTTGCCATGCAAAAACTGCTAAGATGTTGCTATATGGTTGCTAGGATGTTCTGGGTGGTTGCTAATAGTTCAGGAAAACTATTGTGTTGCTCCAATCTCTAATTATCACTAATGAGCTAGAGTTCAATACCTGAGACGAGAGTGACAGGCTGGCTAGCCGGGCCCATGCAGTCACCATTCATGCCCATGACTGTGATGGAATATTCCTGGCCGCACTGCAGGTTTGGGATATCACAGTGTGTGACAGTGTTGTTGCAGGACGTCTTGTACCCTTGGTTGCCTTCTGCCTTTACCAAGTACCAAGTGGCACCAAGGGCATTGTGCCAGGTGATGGAAGCAATGTTGGATGTACAGTTTAGAGCAGCAGCGACATTGGTGGGAATGCAGGGTAGAAGAGAAGAGAAGAGAAGAGAAGAGAAGAGAAGAGAAGAGGAAGTTATATGAAAACATAGGCTATATAAAAAATATTTATATAAAAAGTGTATACACTATACACTACTGTTCAAAACTTTAAGGGTTAGTAAAATGTTTTTGAAAGAAGTTTCTTATGCTCACCAAGGCTGCATTTATTTTATGAAAAACACAATTAAAAAAGTGATATTGTGAAATATTATTATAATTTAAAATAGCTGTTTTGTGACATTTATTCCTGTGATGTCAAAGAGGAGTTTTCAGCAGCCATTATTCCTTCAGTGTCACATTATCCTTCAGAAATCATTCTAATATGCTGATTTGGTGTGCAAGAAAAATTTCTTATCAGTTTTCAAAACAGTTGATCTGGCTCAATATTTTTGCAGAAACAAAGGTAAATGTTTTCAGATTTTTTTTTTTTATATAAATTTCAAAAGGTCATTTATTTGAACATTATCAATGTTGTCCTTACTTAATTATTGATTTCTTTCCCAAAAAAAATCTTACTGACCCTAAAATGCTTGAATGGTAGTGTATAATTTTTTTTTTTAAATCATGCTGGGATTTGGGGGGAAACAGTTAAAATACTTGGAATATATATATAGGTATATATTATTTATAGAATTGGATAAAATAAACCACCAAATGCCACTTTTTTCTATCTAATGCACTGAAATTCATATATCTAATGTATTTAAGGACCACATTTTCTGTACACGTTGTTATGAATCACTGAAATTAGCAAATGTTAATGTGAGCTGACACCTGTTTCCACTACAGCTTTAGGTTGAGAGCTGCTGTTGCAGGTGGCGCCATCAGCTTGGACAGTTACATTTAGTCTCATCCCACACGGCAGAGAGGTCAGCTGACAGGAAGTCCCCATAGAGTGACAAGAAGCTAAGCGTTGCTGCTGCCCGTCTGTTGCCATTGCCGTGTACCCATTAGCTCCCGCACTGGCAGCCCATGTCACGTTGGCCGTGTTGGTGTCACACTGGAGCACAGTTGTGATGTTCTGAGGGTCACAGGGAGCTAAAGGAGATACATAGTCAGTTTCAAAGGTCTGTTATTACTGTGTAAACATGAGCATGTATGCTCACTTGACTGTTACCTGACTGTATCTGAATGGGTGTGGATGGCAGACTTCCACATTGATCATCATTCCTTGTGACTGTGACGTTGTAGTTCATTCCGCAGAGCAGGTTTGCGAATGTGCAGTTGTTAGAGCTGGAGCTGCAATTAACTGAGTGCCCATGTTCATCCTGCAGTACTGCTGTGCACAGACTCCCAGTCTGAAGGGCCTGCCAACTTACGACTGCGTGATTTGCTGCACAGTCTCTAGTGACCCCCACGCTAACCGGAGCACATGGAGCTACAATGGAGAATGTATCAGATTTACTTGGTATACAGCAAAAATTCGTTTGTTTTACTTTTATATAAAAGTATAAAAACAGTAAAACACTATATAAACGTCAAATATTTTAGAGAAATTAATTTGCTGGTGAAATATACAATTCCTTTTTGTCTTAAATGGACAGTTTAAACCAAATTGAAATTCATATTAATATATAAAATGTTAAGTATAAGATTTTTTAAAAAGATAAAATTACCATTTTTAAATTTTTATTTGAACATTTTGTGTTTATTTTTTGTCATGTTATTTTTATATTTTAAATATCTGGGCCCCTTTATTCATCCTCTCTTATTGTTTTATTTTACATTTTAAAAGTATGTCCCTTTTTCTTTATCCTTTTTTTTACATTTTAAATATCTGGCCACTTTTATTCATCCCATTTTATTTTTTGATTTAAATTATTTGTTATATTACATTTTAAATATATTGCCTCTTTTAATTATCCTGTTTTATTTTTTATTTTACTTATCTGGGCCTTTGTATTAATTATTTTACACTTTAAATATTTAACCTTTTATTCATACCATTTTATTTTTTTACATTTTAAATATCTGGCATCTGTTATTCATCCCCTTTTAAGTTTTGTTTTATGATTATTTTACGATATTATTGAATTTTACATTTTAGATGTCCGGTGTCATTTAATTCCTACTTTTAATTTTTTTTACAGTTTGTATTTTATAAACGTGTATTATACACGTTTATAAATGTATTTTTTTATTTTTAAATATGTGGCCCTTTTTATTTATTCCTTTTTATCATTATTATGACTCTTTTTTTATTAATTGTTATTTTACATTTTAAATATCTGTTTATTCTTCCCTTTTATTTTTTTGCTGTCTCATCCCTTTTTATTTTTAATTTTACATTATTTTTTGTTTTACATTTTAAATTTATGTCCCCTTTTCATCATCCTCTTTTATTTTTGGTTATTTACATTTTAAATATCTGACCCCTTTTATTTATTTATTTATGTTTTATTATCTGGCCCCCTTGCCCCCTTTTTTATTTTAGTTTTCACATTATTTCATAAATAAACCAGATAAAGCAATTAATTTTAAATATCTAGCAATTTCTATTCATCCAACTTTTTGTATTTTACTTGGTAATTTATTTAGCATTTTAAATATCTGGCCCCTTTTATTCATTCTTTTTGATCATCTGTGCACCTACCTGTCTGCAGGGTGACATGTTGACTCTCAGAACTGTTGCATTTCAGGTTAGTTGACATGACATACACATCATACGCCTCGCCGCATCGCAGGTCTGGGATTGTGCATTCTGCCGCCATGGCAACACAGGTGTGAACTGTGCCATTCACGTGAGTCGCCATTCCGATGTAGAAGATGGCACCGTTGGCATAGTTCCATGTGAGAGAGGCGGAGTCTGAACTACAGGTCTCCACAGCAGACACATTCTGAGGTATGCAGGGAACTACAGTGCGAGATAAAGAGACATAGTGTATAGTATCATCATGTAATACCATGCCACAGTACTTTTTTGTAAGTGCATATTCCTATACCACTATATATATTGCAATTTAAAGAATACCATTGTATTACCACAGTACCCAGAATCACTCACCTGTCTCTGCTACATCTCCCAGCACAGGATCAGTAGTGCATTCACCATTTGTGGCAACAATCCACACGCTCAGGCTCTCTCCGCAATCCAGATCTGTTATCGTGCAGCTTGTGTTTGCAGACGTACAGTTGTAGAAATCTTTACGATTACCGCGGGCCTCCACAACGTAGGCCTCGGCTCCTGCGGCCTCGTCCCAAGTAATGATGGCACTGCTGATGCTATTACAGTTTGCAATCGTGTAGATGTTCTGCGGCAAACATGGGGCTTCATGGGTAAGGAGACAGAGGGGGCCAAAATTAAGATTTATATTTAAAACAAGTCAAGACACTTTATCTGCTTCAAACAATACAGATTGTTTCAATGGAGCTTCAGATTAATAAACAGGAAAATAACAGTGTTAATGTTGAAGTTCAATCCGGCTCCGAAGTAGCTCATTTTTTCACCTCAATTCAGTTCAAAGTTGATTCAGTTCAGTTCTGTCATGACAACTCTCGGAGGGATTGGCATGGTAATGTACATGACAATGTTAATGTATTTGGTCTTGGCGGAATAGATCTGCTACGCTGCTGCTGCTGCTGCTGCTGCGGCAGAGCAAGTACTGAGACTTGCTACAACATGAGCTGCTCTGAGCATGTAAGAAATATTGCTGCTGCAAACATAACATACATGAAATAACCCCCATATAGCATACATGAATCACCTCGTAGCAGATCTATACAGGTGGAGCTGGGGAAGGTGGAGGGTTTCTGAAGCAACTGCTACAGCAAACACTAATCATATATTTGAATGTTGAGCAGCGAGCTCATTGGCTACCGATACAGGAGAGAACTAATCAGCTGTGCCATGTGATAATGATGTCATTAGGTCAGATTGAGTTAGACCTATCAGACTGCACCATCTAGAGTTTCATGCCAGAACTCTGTTTTTCAATAACAGTGTTGATATTGCAGAGTTCGTGTCATAATCCAGCTTAATTCAATTCAAATTTTGTTCCCATCCAATATTGTTAGTGCAGTTAAATCGATAATATAATTGTCTTTTAAATGGCTTCTGAACCCGAAAACAAACACACAAACATAAACAACTGCAAAATTATGTGTCCCATGGAAAATCATGGAATATTAAATATTTATTGATTTTTACCAAAATGACCAACTCACCTGTTTTGATCACCACACCCTCTGTGTTTCCACTGTTGCAGTCTAGTCCTCCGGAGTAGACGGCGCTGACGTAGAAGCTGTAGGTTTGACCACAGACGGTGTCGGTGAAATAACAGGAGGTTTCCACAGTGACACATTCCATTACCAGGTCATCCGAGTCCACAGCAATGGCGAAGTAATAAGCCGTGTTGTTGGTGGGCTCCCACGAGAACAAGATGACATTAGTGGAGCACTCGCGGTACACTTTTGGCGCTTTGGGTGGGCATGGTGCTGTTAGTTTGAGAGAAGGGGGTTAAGAAATGCATTTGCTAGTGAAATATACAATTCCTTTTTGGTTTAAAGAGACAGTTCACCCAGAAATGAAAGCCCATGTTGTTTGAAACCTGTATGACTTACTTTCTTCAAACGCAAAAGGAGATATTTTCAAGAATAACCGATGTTTTGTCTATACAATGAAAGTAAATGGGGTCCAAAATAAACAACATTGGACCCCACTGACTAATTTTATGGACAAAATCCCTCCAAAATATCTTCTGTAGAAGAAAGAAAGCCATACCGGTTGACATGAGGGTGATTAATGATGACAGAGTTTTCATTTTTGGAGAGTAGATAAAAACAACCTGAGAAAGATAACCTTAGAGAAGGCAGGTAGATTTACTAACTTAAGGGCTAAGTTAGGACTGCCTCCTGATACCGCATGACCTTCCATAAAAAATATCTGCCTCAATAGACTGTAAAGCTAATTGAATCTACATGACAGTAATTCCTGGGTGTGTTCCCCCTCAGACTTGCTACACCACGACAGGATTTCCTGCTCACCTCCCAGAGGACTGGATCAGGTGTGAGCGTGACCTTTGAGAAAGGACATCTTTACCTGTCTCTAAGATGTAGCTGCCGTCGGAAGTGCTTTCACAGTTAGCGATGGCTGTAATCCGTACTGCGTACCGTTCTCCACAGACCAGATTCGAGATCTGGCAGGTGGTGTCCGTTGAAGTGCAGTTGAGCGACCGGCCTTGACCATCTGTAATGACGGCACGGTACGACGTGGCACCAAAAACCACATCCCAACTAACCGTTGCCGTAGAAGTAAGACAGCTGTACTCCACAGAGATGGAGGAAACTGTTGCAATGCCTGAGATAAACAAGAAGTCATATGTTATAGATCTGCATATCCAGATGCTGCAAAAACCAGCATTGGTTTCTAGGCTTGGTTTATGCTTAGTATTGATTCTGGACTAGAATTTTCTTAAAGGAAGTCTTGGTTAGGCAAGTCTAGAAGCATCCGAAACACATCAAGGCATAAATCTACTGCTTTATGATTTCATTCAAAGGTTTCGCTCTGAAATGTTCTGCCTCATCTTGACTTACTGGAAGTTGTGTAGGTGACATTATTAGACTCTCCTGGTTCAAGGAACATGTTGATAGATGCAACCCCTATTGTGTATGTTGTACACGGCTCCAGGTTTGAGATGTTCACACCGGCAGCAGTGGCATTCTTAATAAGCGGGGGAAATCCCGGCTTGTTATTGGCCATCACTGAAAGCTGGTAAAGCAGGACACCTGAGACGCTGTTCCATGTTACGCCAGCCGTGGTCTGCGTTAACTTGTTCACAGCCACATTATCTGGTGGCTGCACCACTGTGGAACAAAAATATTTTCTTATTGTCAATTATAGAAAGGCAAGATTTCATTGACAGGGTAGCAAAGCTGCTGTAAAATAGCACAAAACTGGAAAGAACTGTGAATAGACTTACATGTTCTGATGGTTCTGACAAGGCTCTTGGTGCCGAGTCCTGCAGAATTGGCGGAATAAATGTAACAGCTGTACGAAGTGGCTCGCTGGAGGTTGTCTATCTGTCCACTTAGCGAGGTGAATGTGAGGTTATGAGTCTCAGGATGGAAAGTTCCATTCACCACCAAAATGTATTTATCGGCTCCTTGTGCACTGGACCAGTCAAACCTGATGGAGGTGCTTGATATTGCCTTTGAATATGTTATTTGTGAGGTGGCAGGAACTGCATGCACAAATGAAATGAAATTAATTAAAAATGTAACAAGTCCAGAAATTTGTTAAGAAATGTGTGGGTCGATAACTTACTTGTCTGTGCTGTCTGGGAGTTGATGCATGTCACATAATTGAACACAAACACTTTAAAAGTCACTAGATAAATGTTTCCCGGTCTTAAGCCTTGGACCAGTCGCTCCACAGCAGACGCAGTGAGTGTAATAGTGACAGGTGCTGTGTTGGTTGCATTCACAACCCTGACATCCAGAATATAGTTTGTCGCTCCTGTAAACTTGTTCCATTTTACAAGCAGAGATGATGCAGTGGATGATGATATTGATGTTATGTTACAGTCTGGAGGAGACAAAAATGTCAAGATACAACAATGTGCACTAATACTATATATTTAGTTAAATACATTTCTAAAGTTAAAAAAAAAAAAGATTCCTAATATAAATGAAACATAATTTACTGAACTGTGATACATAATTTTAAACATTATTAATATTCTAAAATAAATATTAAATAAGTATTTTAATACTTACTTGCGGTAGCTTCTTTTACCTTCGAACAAAGAAAAATATGATACTCAAATTAATCATAAGGATTTCATAGGCAAAAAATGAACAATAAATCATTAACAGATCATAAAAGATTAATAAATACCTGTGTCACTGAAAATAGCGTTACAAAGATGCACAGTGTTCCTGGAAGATGCATCTCTGATTTGATGTATAAGGTGCTAATAAGTTACAGGTAAGTTATGATACATACGCTTGCTAATATGGAGAGAAATCTGAAATCTTTGGTGGCACGGTGCAAGTATACCTGCTCTGTGAGAACCAATCAGTGCATCCAAAATGCAAAATGAGGGCAGGTGGATGCCTCTGGGCTGAAGACATCATCTAAGTAACTCTCTGTGTGTGTGTGTGTGTGTGTGTGTCTGTGTGTGTGTGTGTGTTTTAATAGGTAAAGGGTAGGCTGGGGGTTATTGTTTGACAAATGAAGACCACAAACTTTGACACTAGTTCTTTCTAGATAAGCGCCATATTTTTAATAATTATTTTAAAATTATAATTAGTTTAAATGAAGAGCATACTGGTATGTTAGGATTATTTTTGAGTGGTAAGTGATATAGGATAGGTTGTTAGTCATTAGGTTTCAGGGAAACAGGCTCAGGATAATGGAAAGAGTGAAATTCCCATCCTTGAACTGGCTTGCCTCAAGCAGTCTGGTGTAATGTTAAAGAAAGATTAAATTACTGGATTTTAAACATATTTCCCCTATTATTTCACTTTAGTACTGGTTTAATATTGTCTTCTGTAATGATGATGTTGAATTTGTGAATGGGTTGGTCTTTTGAATTTGTTTTTTCCAATAAATGACATGAATACTGATTGAAACCAATTTGCATATTTGACTCATGTAAGGTTGCAACTGAATTGAATCAGTTCAGTTGGATTGATGACTGTTTTCAGTAAATCATTTATTATAAAGTTATTCATTTACCTTTCACTGAATTCACAATGGTACATTAACTGAAAAGGAGTTCATACTGTAAATGGAGATTTTTTTTTTTGCGTTATTCTTCTTAACGCCATTGTTTTTATATCAAATATATTTTTTTTTTAAATAGAAAACTTTTTTTAGCTTTCTTAATTTTTTTATCTGCATCTTAAGCTGAATATTGGCTGATATAATGATAAAAATGACAAACTAGTGGTCAAAGATCATACATGTGCAGTTAATTTGCCAATAAAAGTGAAACAGGTGTAAAACTGTAGCTATTTAGCTTTCTTTCTTTTTTTTACCAAATCATATATATAGAGAGAGAGAGATTTTGAAAGAATTTCAACTCTATTCTGTAAGTCATTCACTTTTTTTGTGTATTTTGATAAAAGCTTTTTTATTGTTTATTTTAGTCACTGTGTCATTCATTCAACTTATGTAATCTTGTTTCGGAAGCAGTTCTTTTTTTCTCTGATTTTTTTCCCCCTTCTCTTCCATCAGGATCATTTAGCTTACAATTTCCTGTAAGGAAGTGGCCGTAGGTCACACCTGTCTAATACATAACTGCTAATGCTATATCTTATTTCTTCTAATATTATAAAGTTTAAAATTCTAGAGCCTCGTCACTGCAAAATATGAGAGATCTTCCTTTCTGAGCTGCACTGGGAATGCCGAAAGCACTAGAATGTTACGCTATCAAAATTCATCATTGTGCCTAAAACAGTGTGTGCTGGTACTTTAAAGAGAAAGATAATGAAGGAATAGAGTGTCTTTGTCTCGGTCTCACTGATCCCAGAAAGAAGAAGCTATAAGGGAAAGCAAATCTGCCTCTTCGATTCAGAGCCTGAAACATACACCCAACTCTGTGTCCAGCCAGCTCAAATGGTTTTGTATGGTGGTTAAGATCAGTGTCTTTAATGTTATAGTTTCTTTTACTTTAACACAGGTGGATTCCAGGCCTGATCCGGTTTGCTTCCCAGTAGTGAATGAGAATCACTTGTTTAATTCATCTCTTCTGTGGAAGCACTAATCATAGTTTTTGAGAAGGAGCTTGATTCAGACTTAAACAGAAAGTGCACCTTCATAATTATAATGAAAGGTGACGTTGGAACTTAAGTTGCGTATAAACAAAACGTTTAACTTTGAACAAAATTCCATCACAACCATCATACTTTGTCCTTCAGAACATCGCCGAAGATGCTTTATTACTCAAATGTGGCCCTTTTTGTTCTTCAGGAAACTTGGAGTATGTTCAGGTATGATGCACTGAAGTAATGTCTGATGTTTCTCCTCAAATTCATTGAAAAAGTTGAAACAAATGAGACAGAGTAAAGGGCTATAATATTAATGTGCTAATACACTACACAGCTTTTAGTCCCACTTCATATTTGGTGTCTTTAAACACTATGTACTTAATAAAATAATGATTAACTGATAATGACAATTGTTGTGTGCCTATTGTGTTCATGTTTAATTGCTAAACACTTTTGCTGCTATTGAGGTGGGATACAGGTAAGTTTAGGGACAGGTTTGGTGGTATGATTAGGTTTAAGGGGTAGGTGTAACTACAGAAATTAATTACGGGTGTAAATACAGGGTGGTATTTTCAAATACAAGTACAATGTAAAAACGTTTATGTAGGCTACACAATAATTCCATTGTATCAAATTATTCATTTAAATGTAAGAACATAATAGTTAACGACACCTATAAAGTGGGTCCCAACTTTTCAAATCTGAACACATATTAAAACACTGGGCTCCACACATTTGGCTTTATACGGCTTTATAAGACTTGCATGCAAAAACATATGGAAGCCCGTTAGGCCTAAAGAACAGAAAGCCTTCTTGTCTCACGATTGTGAACTTTTTATCTGGCAGTTGCGAGTTATTTCTCACAACTGTAACTTTTCTTCCCAGTTTTTTTTTCCTCACAATTCTGAGAAAAGCCAGAGCTGTGAGATATAAACTCGCAATGACCTTTTATCTCACAATTTTGAGTTTATATCTCACAAGTCAGACATTGTTTCTCAGAATTGCGAGTTTGTCTCACAATTCTAACTTGCTCAGAATTGCGACAAATAAACGCACAGTTGCGAGTTTATGAGTCGAACTTGCGATATGTAACGTCGCAATTTTGAGAAGAAAAGTCAGAATTGTGAGATGGAAACTTGTAATTGCGAGAAGAAGAAAACAATCTGAATTGTGAGATAAAAAGTCAATGTCAAAATATCAAACATGTTTCATATCCTCCAACTGGATGGATTCATAGTCTGAAGCGAAAATAAATATAGTCTGTGTCCATAATACATTACGTGATATTCTGTGAAATCTAGCTCTGACTTTCGGAAATTAGCGTCGACTCATGCAGTAAACTGGCGCAAAAATCTTGGCAAAAGTTGTATAGTATATTCTACAGACGAATCTGAGATTAGCCTACTTGGGCCTGTTGCTTAGAAGAAAAATATTAGAATCAGGAGATTTAATGTCTTGTAGTAGAAACCAAATCTATAAGTATTTATTTACCTGGTATAATCAGTAGGCTAATCT